GTAAGATCTTATCGTGGCGGTGAATATTATGGGCGATATACTGAGACTGGACAGCAAATGGGACCATTCGCTAAATATTTACAGGACTATGGTATCGTCGCTCAGTATACAATGCCTGGGAGCGGCGAAACCGCACACTCATGGAGATGAAATGAAGTATGATGAATAGATCTAATATGCCTGAATACTTATGGGGTGAGGCGGTTAAAACAGCAGCTTATATATCGAATCGTGTACCTAGTAAATCAGTGCCAAAAACACCTTTTGAGTTATGGACGGAGAGAAAACCAAGCTTGAACCACTTTCGAGTTTGGGGGTGTCCTGCAGAGGTGAAAATTTATGATCCTTCGCTGAAGAAGACTGAACCCAGGACTACTAGGTGTTACTTTATTGGATACCCTAATCATTCTAAGGGGTATAGGTTCTATTGTCCTACTCGTGGCACTAGAGTTGTTAAGTCTCAGACTACTAAATTCCCGGAGTTGGATGTTGCTGAAGAGAGTTCCTCTCAATTCTTTCAAAGGGAGGAACCAAACAATACAGTCTCTATTTCATTGCCCATTTTGAATGATGACTCCGTGCGAGAGATTTGCAGAGAGGAAACCCAGCAAGAAGTAGATATTGGAAATATGACGATAGACCATTCTATTACGGAAAAAACTCCCCAGATGAATGATCCAGCTCCAGAAGTGCCTGTGCGAAGATCACAACGACAAAGAAGACCGACGCTTTTGAATGATTATCATGTCTATCTTGGAGAAACTGATTTTGAGATTGGACATACAGTTGATCCGGTGACCTTCAAAGAAGCTCTTGGTAGTGATCAGGCGGATAAATGGTTAGGAGTGATGAAGAATGAGATGACTTCCATGTCAAATAATCAAGTATGGGAACTCGTTGATCTACCTGATGGGCACAAACCGATTGGCTGCAAATGGGTATTTAAAACCAAGAAAGACAATAAAGGTAACATAGAGAGATTCAAGGCAAGATTGGTTGCGAAGGGATTCACACAGAGAGAAGGCATTGATTACACTGAAACCTTTCCTCTGGTGTCCACTAAAGACTCTTTTCGAATAATTATGGCATTGGTGGCTCATTTTGATTTAGAGCTTCATCAGATGGATGTCAAAACAGCTTTTCTAAATGGAGATTTGGATGAAGAAGTATATATGTAGCAACCTGTGGGGTTTAAAGAAGCTGGAAAGGAGCATATGGTGTGCAAACTTCGAAGGTCTATATATGGTCTCAAACAAGCATCACGTCAGTGGTACTTGAAGTTTGACAGAGTTGTGAGATCGTTTGGCTTTGAAGAAAACAAATTTGATCAATGCATCTACATGAAAGTAAGTGGGAGTAAATATATTTTCTTAATACTTTGTGTAGATGACATTTTGATTGCTAGTAGAGATGTTGATCTGTTGCATGACACAAAAGGTTTTCTAGCTTCAAAGTTTGATATGAAAGATCTTGGGGAAGCCTCTTATGTTTTAGGCATTGAGATTCATCGTGATAGATCTAAGAAGGTTCTGGGATTATCTCATAAAAGTTATATAGATCGCGTTTTGAAAAGATTCAATATGCACACCTACAGGGTTGGTGAAGTTCCTGTTGTAAAAGGAGATAAATTAAGCATAGAACAGTGCCCCAAAAATGATGTTGAAAAAGAAGCAATGAAGAATATTCCATATGCTAGTGCAGTTGGCAGTCTTATGTATACACAAGTATATACCAGACCTGATATTGCTTTTGCAGTGAATACTCTTGGGAGATATTTATCAAATCCAGGTCATGAACATTGGGTTGCAGCTAAGAAAGATATGAGATATCTGCAGTGAACAAAAGAATTTATGCTTGTGTATAGCAGAGTAGAGGATCTAAAGGTGATTGGATATTCAGATGCGGATTTTGCTGGTTGTTCAGATGACAGAAAATCGACTTCTGGATATATTTTCATGATGGCTGGAGGTGCTATTTCTTGGAAGAGCACAAAGCAAACCTTAATTACGAACTCTACAATGTATGCTGAGTTTGTAGCTTGTTATGGTGCTTCAACTCAGGCTATTTGGCTCAGAAATTTGATCTCAGAATTGCGGGTTGTGGACTCTATTGCAAGACCGATGGTCATCTATTGTGACAACACCGCAACCGTGTTTTATTCTAAGAATGACAAAATCAGCAATGCGTCTAAACACATGGAGATCAAATATTATACTGTTAAGGACTTGGTCAAAAAGGGAGCTGTTGTGATCGAGAATATTAGAACTGAGTCCATGTTGGCTGATCCTCTAACAAAAGCTTTACAACCCATTCTGTTTAAAAAACATGTAAACAATATGGGTGTTTTAGATTCTTTTCATTCCTTTTGTTAGTGGGAGTTTTGCATAGTTTGTTTATCTGGATATTGTGATTATATGCAAACTGATAATGCTTTTTATGATCTTTATTAAAGCATTTACTTTTGATTTTCATCATTATTTTTGCTATGTCGACTGAGAGATGGAAATATAAAACAGTATCTTTAAACATATTTTAGTTTAAAGATGACTGGATGTCACTAATTTTGAGATCTCATGTTGAATTGTGACATAGTTGTGCAATGTTATGTTGTTTAGAAATTGTACTAAGGCAATTTCATATTGTTTAGAAATTGTGGTGATGCAGTTTCATGTCGTTGAGAAATTGCGTTGAGGACTGATAAGGAATAGTGCATGTTTGATCACATGTTGGCACTATTTCTTACTACACCACTAGGCCTATGATCCATGAAATTATAATGCTTATTATATGTGATTATGGAAGGTCATGTGTTGTGGTATTTTCTTAACACTTTGACCGCCATAGTCCTATATTGAGGTTATAAAGGATTGGGTTGGTTTTGAGATGCCATTATTGGAATATTATTATTATTATTATTATTATTATTATTTTAAATCGTGGCCACATAAAACAAATTTTTAGTTATTAACCCGAGAGTGTCATTTTTGAAATAAAATCATTCTAAAAAAAAAGGGTTAATTAATGTAGCACAAGTGGGAGAATGTTGGAAATTTCCTATAATATGGGCTTACATTAATTAATTGATTTTCTATTTTAAATACTCGGGTTAATGGATATTTCAATATATGTGTTGTACCCTTTAGTGATCTTATTGAATTGGGTTTCGGCATCTATAAATAATAGGCCTAGTTAAGCAGCAAAATGTAGGCAATTGTGTTTAACTGAAGCCCGTGATGAGAGGGGCCCAGTTAACGCACCAATGATTAGGGTTTGCTAGGTCCCCTCTCTAGCCTATAAAAGGGTAGGTTATACCTATTAGTCGTTTTATCCCATTGAAAGCTGCTATATCGAAATAAAGGCAAGAGAGGAAGATCGGCATTCCAGTAGATCGTTGATCTATTTCTTTTCTTAGAGAATAACAATGATTCAAAAAGGTACGCTTTAATTCCGCTGTGTGTATTATTATTATTATTTTTCTTATGGTGTTCTACATTCATATATGGATCTAATTGTTCTTTAAGAATTAGTGTATATATAGAGAGAAAGTCTTTACAACATATTCTATTTATCTTTATCGCACTCATATCCGGCACTATCCTATCTCGGACGGTGATATACATATATTTTATTCCGGCTTTATTCCTTATCAAACGTAGCCTAGCTTTACAGCCGAAAATCCTTACGTGGGGCCAAAATGTATTTTCCATATTCTCTCGATAATAAAAGGAAACTCTCCTTTTGTTGAAATCAGACAAAACCATCGCCACCGTCCATGGGAGGCCATCTTCAGTAACTCCTAAAGAGTTACAGAACATTCCTTGAAAAGTCGTTGAAAAATCTTAATCGCAGACACAAAATAAGCAAAAGTTGCCTATGTCTAATTAGATGTGACGTGAGGCAGGATGGAGCAATGACGTCATGATTATATGCGTACGCGCATTCCACTTCTCAACGCGGCAAAGCATCATAATCCGTTCCCGCTCCTTTCTTTTTTTTCTTATTTGCGTAAATATTATAGATTTGCCAAACCAGCGGGTTCAATCGCATTTGGGGATACCGAAAATAAATTCGACCCGAATGGGCTCATATAATCCGTATTGATCTAAAATTTATGTAATACAATTTTGGTGAGCCATATTTGATTTGATTCGATCTGCACCCAATCGGACCCGACCTTCACTTCTAAGCAATTTTCCCCCTCCAATATGAAAATCTAGCGTACCGAAAACAAAATCCAATCAATACAAAATAAACTAAACATGAAAAGAATTTAACAAATGAGAAGAAGAAATTTAACGAATCAAGCTACCAAACCAAAACCAAAATCAATTGGAATTTCGACCTCCTTTTTTTCTCTTCTCAAAAGATGTGACTTGACCAAGCGACGCACAGCACTGATGATGTAATCTCAGCTCTCTCTCCTTCGTTCTTTCTACTTCTTTGATTCGATCAAAGTTGAAGACGGATCAAACCAAACCACGAGAAGAAGTCATCTTGAATTTGTTCTTCAAAGGGAGCCCAAAAATATATATATAAGGGAAAAGAGCAACCATCGCACACGAATTCTCCCATCCTACGTTCAATTCCGAGTCGGACTTAACGATTCGATTGGCCATCGATCAATTTCCGATTGGATTTTAAATCAGGACCATCGAATCCCCGGCGACCACGGCCTCGCGAAAGTCCGACGCTACAGAATTCAAATTCCACGGCTCCTAAGCATATACATCCAAACGAAAAAGAAAGTAAAAGAACGGTCGAAAATATGTTCGAATGGAAATCGATTTCTAGTTGTCTTTCTTTTTGTTCCTTTACAGCTAATATCCTATAGCTTAGCTAAAGCTAGAGATCGTTCCCCGATCGTTGCATGGGAATCTCCCGTGGTCCTTCGCATTCCCAATCTTTTTCCCCCCACCACCTAAGTGACCTTGACCTTGGGTGGCTGAATCGTAATTTCGCGTCGCGAGCGGCGACCTCCCTCTCCTTATTTAAAAAAGAGGACGACGCGCCGAAACCGAAAGAAGGCAAAGGCGAGCGCTGCACGTTCGGACAAGTCTTCGAAACAGCAAGATTTCCGGGTGTCTCGCGAGGCTTTGTGTAGGAGTGTTTTTCGCGAGAGCGAAGAGGGGGGAGACGAGAATGGCGTCGGAGGAGGCGCAGGTGATCAGCTGCCACACCGTCGGGTCCTGGACCGAGCAAATCCAGAAGGGCAACGAGCCCGACAAGCTGGTACTTTTTTTCTTTTTTGTCCCTCCCTTTCGTCTGCTTTCTCTTTCGTTCATGCTTGCTTCGACGTTTGATGGTGAATGTGGGTTTGACGGTGGGTTTTTTTTTGCACTTCGGATGCGTTTTCTTTCTTCCGGTTGTTGAAGTTGCGAGTTTCCGGGTTTTTGTCTCTTTTTTTTTATTTGGCTGGCTTGGTTGATCATCGCGAAACATGAGGCTTTGACTTTGATTTAGACGTACTCGATTTGTCGATCAATGTTTACATGAACAGGCGATTGATTTCGAGTCCATGAGATTTTTTTTTTTTTTAGTGATTTGAGCGTCTGCTCTGATTGGTTTGGCAGATTACACGTTTGATTTCTCTACCATAAGCGGTGTGATTATCTGCAGAGATGGAAAAAACTACAATCTTGTCAATAGGCACTGAAATTTGAGTTTCTTCAGGTGGAAGATTCGTGATAAGTCGTTTACGTATGGGTCAATTTATCCGATTTTTTCCAAGGTTGATCATGGTTGGACAATGTGTAATTGTCACAAGGGAACTGCTTTTTGGACTGTCTTGTGAGCGGTTTGCTTCATCAAAAGGGTGCTGACTTTTTGTATTGTGGCTTCTTTCATGAGTCCTGCACTGGTTTTAGCTTAACAGAAGGGGTCGTCTTGCTCCTTAGATTTAGACGGTTTCGAATGGTCCACACAATGAGAAGTCGTCTTGCTCTATGCAAATTGCAATGGCATTGGATGGACCGCTCCTTAGGCTGGACTGTTCTTGTGTTGTCCTTTCTGTTTTCTCTGTTATTCCCTTCTGATAGATACATACTTCTTTCTTATAACTTTGTTTCTAAGTGAATAATGATATCTTCGACGATAAGACCAAGTCCACAGTGGGAAAAAAGAAACATGTTATTTGAAAAGCTTTCATCTTTATGTTAGATTCGATGATGATAAGTGTCACCCAGAAGCGTTATCACTGTTCAATGGAGCGGTCAAGGCACAGTGGGATGTTTTTGAGTCTGGATGAGGTAAACTACAATGGGAAGTGGCTTGCAACTGATAAGCTGTTATCAGGAAAAATACACTGTATACTCGTAGGAAGAACGAGGGAGCACGCTTCTTTTCTTAGTCGATCCGCGTTGATGTTCGATTAGTCACGCCAAATTCCCTCTCTAGTCTCTAGGAGCAGATCAGTTGGTTGCTAGTAGTCCTTGCCATGTCATGCCACAGAAATACCGAAAAAAAGGTCATTTGACATTCGACAAAAACATAACCAAGTCCCAAGCCATTGCCACCTGCATATTTTGAACTTCAGATTTCTCCAATATGCCAATTCATGGATGACCAAATGGTCTGTCATCCAGCTTGATTTTAAATAACCTCCCTGGACATTGAGGTTATGGAATGTTGTGCCAAAGTCATACTGGCTCACAGGTGTTCTTGCACTTGCACAGAATATGGCTATCCTTCCAATTCTGTTCTCTAAAGGTGATTTGGAGGATGTTGTGACAGGTGACTAGCTTTCAAAAAGTCAAAAGCAATTTGAGGCCAAGAGGGTCTGCTTTCTTTTGTTGCTTCTGGTCCTTTCTTTTTGCTGCATTAAAGCTCTGGTCCTGTTGGATAATGATTGGTGCTTTAATTGATGTAGGTGGTTGTGGACTTCACTGCTTCATGGTGCGGACCGTGTCGCTTTATTGCACCTTTGCTGGCAGAGCTGGCCAAGAAATTCTCCAGCGTCCTTTTCCTCAAGGTCGATGTGGACGAGCTGAAGGTAAAGTAAAATTCTATTTCCACTCCACTAAGATTGTTTTCCCAATTCCGACATGCTCCCGGTGCATGTAAATTGCGGACTAATTATCGTGTCTTGGCAGCAAGTTGCTCAAGAATGGGCCGTGGAGGCGATGCCAACCTTCATGTTCGTGAAAGGGGGCAAGATTGTGGACAAGGTGGTCGGAGCAAAGAAAGATGATCTTCAGCAGACCATTGCCAAGCATGCAGCTACTGCTTTGGCTTAATTTGCAGTTTGTCTTGGAACAAGCTGAAATTTGCCGTGATATACTATAAGCACTAGATGTTATGTTAATATACTCTTATGTCCGCAGCATGAAGTGATTTTCGTGAAACTTTACAATCATGATGAATAAATTTGACGAATTGATGGTAATTTCTGAAAATCTGTTTGGTGATTTTCATTTCTTCACTCGAAACTTTCTATGCTCCCTCTGTATTAACTTGACCCCGTTGTTTAGTAGTTTTGACCCATTATATATCTTAGACATCATGCAGTTTGTCCCATTTGAGTGCAAGAAAACCCAACTTGTAGTAGACTAAAATGTTACGAAGTGCATTTCCAAAGATCCCTATCAAACACGTAAAAGAAATGAAATTGCTATCCTTACAAGGGTTGCTTACGCAGCATAAATGTCTATACATTCATTCGAATGATCTCTTTATAGTGTCCTCACTGCTTCAATCACCGAGGTACCGAGGTAGGACTAATAGCTTTCGGCATGTGCTTAACGCGTCCAAGTTCGATTTAATCGTGTCGGTACCATAAACGAGTGATCTATTTCATTCGAGAATGATAAAAGTGACGTCCATGAATTGACCATTTGATCCATTCCACGACATTTCAGACACGGGCCAATAAAATGGTAGATGTTGCGTCCGAACTTTTTGTTACATTTTTGTAATTGGGTCTAAAGCATGTCGTATCGCGCAATATATTCAACAATAATGTCCTTTTGGGATCTCAAAATGGTAGATATTGCTTCCCAACTTACCAATAACGGGATAAGGACACTAGGAGTGTCATAACTTTCGTACGGCGCTCACTTGAGTGCTATAATTTTTTTTTTCGCTCACTTGAGTGCCAAAAATTTGAAAAAGTGATCACTTGAGTGCCATCGGCGATTTGGCTCGCCGGAAAATCCGACGTGGTATTAAAATAATATTAAAACAGCCGACGTGTCTCGCCGGCAAGTTGAAGTCAGCATTTGACATGCTAAACAACGTCGTTCACCCATCTAGTTAGCAATTGCATGCCAAACGACGTCGTTCACCCATCCAATTATAAGAACCCTTGCCTTACTTCAACAAATTGGGGCAAAATCCAATTTTCATCTTGAGGAACCCTAACCCTAACCTTGAACTCGCAAACTCTCTTCAAATTGGGGGAAATCATTTCATCAAATTCACAATGGGGAGCAGAAGCAAGAGAAGCGGCTCACAAGTTTATGAACAAAGCGAAGATAGAAGTCAATATTATACTATTGTGGGCTGCGAAGTCCAACAAGAACAGCTTGGACGAAAAACAATCCTAGGAGAAGGTTCAATGGCTGCGCCAGATATAGAGAAGACTTCAATTGTGGATATTTCAGGTGGGTTGACACAAAATTTTCGAATCGAGCAATGGAGGTGATCTTAGAGCTACTTCAAGGACGAGATGAACCTCCGCCTATATTGAAAGATGAGTTGGACAACGCAGACTCAATGCAAGCAGAAATCAAGGGTCTGTAAACTTTGGTGAATCATTTGAAAAAGGAAGTTTCAAGGATGAAAATTCGAAGAAATATTTATCGAGTGTTATTTGTCTTGTTGTTGTTGGGTTTGGTCTGGTTTGTGATCATATGTAACCTCATCAATGAGAAGAAGCTACTGAGTCTACCATAGTAGAAGAACAGTGAAATGTGTTGTTGTATTTGGTGCAATGAATTTTAGTTATGGAAATGTTTTGATGCTGGAATGTTGTTACTTTTGGCAAATTTGTGTATGTGAGTTGAATGTTGAATGGCCAGGTTTGTATTTACGAGCAGGCTGGTGGAAGGTTTTATATGGTGCATTATTGTTGGTTTATATAAAGGATAAATGAGTTGCAAGCCGTAGAATTTGCAATAAGAGCAGAGATGGTTCTGCATTCTATAGTTGGTTTTGGCTTTTCTGCATATGGTGTTGATGGACAGTAGAAGTTCCAAATAACTTTATGAAGGATCGTTTGAGTGCCACAAAATTTTTTAAGTGAACACTTTGGTTCATTAACTTTTTAAAGTTACAATTTAGGTTCCTTAACTTTTTAAAAGTGACCACTTAGGTTCCTTTATTTTGTTTAGTAAGTAAGCTATTAGTTTCACTTTTCTTAACCACATCCTGTACAGCTTAAGTAAGATTATCTCATTTTTGCCGGGGGAAGAATAGCAGAAGTGCCAAAAGTTGTGTACGGAGCTCACTTTGGTGCCAAAAGTTCCATTTGGATCACTTAAGTGCTAAAAAATTTGAAAAACGATCTTTTAAGTACCAACTCCGATCTGATTGATCGGAAATCTGACGTGGCAATTTTTTATTAGTATTTGAAGCTGACGTGGCTCGCCGCAGAGTACAGTCAGCGTGCAAACAATAAAACGACCCCGTTTTATTCACGATACCTACACGGCGCCGTTTTATTTAGCTTCTTCTCCCCAAAATAAGAACCCTAATCCCCAAATTGAAAGATGGAGGGCGGAAGCTCAGCAGCGGCTCACATTCGGGATACCTAATCCGCGAAAATCAGAACTTTAAATCCCCAATTATCAGCTCGCGCTTGCAGATGGAGGGCGAAAGCTTTAGCAGCGGCTCACATTCGATTAAAAAAAGCGAATTAGATGGTGAGTGTTACTGTTTTTGTGGGTTATCGAGTCCGAGAAGAACATCTTGGACTCAGTTAAATCTCGGGAGAAGATTCCATGGATGCGACAGGTATAGAAAAGGCTCAAAGTGCAAATATTTCAAATGGATTGATGCCAAATTCTCCGGTTGAGCCGCAGAAGTGATCTTGCAGCTACTTGAAGGATGACATCAACCTCCACCTACATTAATGGACGAGTTAGATGATGTCGACTCAATGCAAGCTCAAATGAAGGGTTTAACATCTTTAGTCGACCATTTGAAGAGGGAAGTTTCAAGGCTGAAAATTGAAAGAAACTTTTATCGAGCATTGATTGTGTTGTTGTTCTCTTGTGTAGTATATTCAAATTTGAAGTGAGCAATGAGAAGAAGTTTGTATGTCTACCATAATCGAAGATGTGGAATATTTATTTGTATTGGGTCATTTGTAAGTAAACTGTGTTACTGGCTTGCTGCAAATTGCATGGAACAAAAGGTTTTGTTCCAATCTATGGTGGAAATGGAAGGTTGGAGTTGGAATTCATTGGTTGTGAGCACTTCAAATTTTTTTTGCTTGGTTCTGTATTGTATATATTGGTTTGCTTGGTTTTTGCATCAGATGTAATGGTTTGCTGCAACCATTACTGCAAACCATGAAGAAATTAAGGGGTGGTAACAATTCACGAGTGACTATTTCAGTGCCATAAGTTGTAAATAATGATCGTTTCAGTGCTAAGTTTTTCTGAAAGTGATCATTTTAGGGTCAATCGCGATGAAAAAGTGATCACTCGTGTTGCACGAGTTTAAAAATAAGAACAAGTTAGTTTCAACTATGTTTCCATTGGCTTGCACCAGTCGTGGTGCATGTTGTTGCACCAGTTGAGTTGCTGGTGCATCTTGTTCTTGCACCAGCTCATACAAGTGTTGGTGCAAGAAGACGCACTAGCACCCAAAGTTGCACCGAGAGCTGTGTTGGTGTAACAGGATGCACCAATAGCCACAATTGCACTAGTGCTGTGCTAGTGCATCTTGTTCTTACACTAGTACTTGTATTTGCTAGTGCAGGAAGATGCAGCACCCATAACTTAAACCAGCACGTACATCTAGCACCCACAACTTCAACCAGCAACAATAATCAACCAACCACTTTCAAAAACAACATCAGCCTCATAACAAGGTGCAAGACAAGAAAATAACAAAAACATTGTTGCCATTGACATTGATTGGTTCTTTACAAAAATAAACATATCCATAAAAAACATCAGTCCCCTAATCAGTCAACGATCCCCTCCCACCTAATATGTCAAAGCGAACACCTAAAAACAATGGCAACAATCCCCATCAGTGAAGATACCATGTCCAGCACCCTCCCATTAGTCAATATGCACAATACCCCCGGCTCCTTTTCCTTTTGCACTTTTGAATTGATTCATAATTTGGGCACTCTTTCGAACTGGACACGTAGGTTCGTTAACTGGCATTTCTGTCACATTCTTCTTAGCATCAACATTTTTTTTTGTAGCAAGTGTCATGTGTGGGGACCTCTCCGTAGGAACATTGGTCCCATGATCAGTCGGTTGAGATGGAACTAGCACTGGTTCTGTTGGTTGAGATGGAACTGGTGCAACTTTATTTGTTAGTGGCTATTTTAAAGCTGTACTCGCTGTCTTCTTCTTCTTCTTTGTGCTCTTCTTTAGCTGCGCCCTTAACTCTTAAGTTGGCCCACCTTGAAAGATAAGCACCTCCGAACTTCTTCCAGGCTACAAGAACATAATTATATTGTTAACCAAATGAATTGAAATACTCTAAATTAAATACATGAGTCCTATAGATCTTACATTGAAAATAGTCATTCCAGTACGTTCATCTGTGTAAATCCCATAACCATATTGCCTTATTCTTTTTTCAAGAACGCCTCTTGTTCGCTGTGGTGCATCATTTTGAGCAACTTGTGGGGAAGTAATTTGTGCAACTTGTGGGGGAGCAACCTGTGGGGCTCCCTGTCCTTGTGCAACTTGTGCAGTTGGTCGTCTTCTTACCTGAGAAACACATAACAAAATTAAACTCAACCCATAAAAGACAAGCACAGCAATGTATAGCTTACTGGATATTTTTTCCTCGTTTGTTTAACAGTGGACTCAGTTATTATTGTTGCTGTCCTGCCTATACTTGTCCCTGCACTTGGGCCTAGAACATGGCCTTTTGTTGGCCCTTCAGTAGGCCCAACAGCAACCTCTTCAGTAGGTGTTGTTCCTGGCCCACGATCAGCTCTTGCAACAACTTCTTGTTCACGTTGCCTTTTCAACTGACAACCTTTCTTATTATGCCCTTCCTTGTGGCAATAAGAGCATTTCATCTTCACCCCGGTCCTACTCATCCTCTGACTTGATGCCTCTCCCTCCTGTATTCTTCGTTTTTTCTTTGGCCTTCCTATTTGCTTCTTTAGTGGCAAAGGTAGAGGGCCTTCACGATTTGTTGGCTCCCAAAATTTGCTACTTCGGATAGGCTGCATCATGAATTGGTACG